TCGTGTGCAAACCTGATTTGGCTTTGATCTGACCTTTCGTTAATTTATGGTGAATTTTTTCTTCCGGCCCATAGGATCCAATGGAGCTGTCAAAATCTGACAGCTGTCAAAAGGTGGGGGAAAACAATTCACCAAAAATTAACGATGGCTCAGAACAAAGCCAAACTAAGTCAGCACAGGTTTTAGAAGGTCCTCTAACGAACCCAAGCATTTAGAACAGTTGCTGAGGCTTCCGTAATTTACGGTGAATTGTTTTTCCCCCCCATAGGAACCAATGGAACTGTCAGATCACATTGCAAAACGACCTTTAAATACCCATTCAATCAATGCAGATTGCAAAACGACCTAAAAAAACCATTCAAACAATGCACATTCCCCGAGCTGTCAGAATCATCGCAAAGCGAAACGGGGACCTAAAACGTTATGTGAAGCATGGTCCCAAAATCGCTATGCGAAAATCGCCCATAGGGAAAATCGTTATACGAAGCACAATCCGACTCTGAAAAAATAAACGTTAAGCGAAAACATCGCTAAAGCAATCGTTATGCGAGGCACCACTGTATTTTAAAAATCTTAAGAAAGCAGAGATACTGAAACCAGAGAATCTTATGGTGAAAATATGGGAAGTCAAAAAAAGGGATATTTTGTCAGACTGTTTAATTCAAAAGGAAACTGAACAATGGGATCTATGGTATAAATGGCAGCAGCTACCAGACAGTGTTGGAGTAACATAGAATAAAACTAAAATTAAATGATAAGATAAAAGCAGGACAGTAATCAAACAGTGGAAAAGCAAAAAGTTGATTTGTATCTGTAATATGAATTAATTGGATGATGGTATATTTTATGTTCTCCTATCCCCCAAAACCTTTTGCCCTTTTCCCTATGCCCCCCTTATTTTCTGTACTTTCCATCCCTGTTCTTAAACAAATACTTAAAATGAAAATAATAATAATAATAAATTAAAAATAATGAAAACACAGTGTGAGAGGATCACCCTAGCACCCTGAGTGAGCTGTCTGAGGCCACATGTCCCAAGCCTCTAGTAGGCAAACAAGAGGGAGGGATGACAGGTGCTGGTGAGGGAGCTGGCTGATGAGGGTCACCTGAGAAAGGGAAAGGGCAAGCAAGAGGCTGGGTTAAATGAGAAAGACTGAGGGGACTTGAGGGTTTCCTTCAGGAATAGGGAGGCAGAGTTGGGGATTTCAGAGGAGGATGAGATGTGAGGAGAGGCTGTTGGAAGCTTGGGATCCCCAGTTCTGGGCCTTGGCTAAGGTGGAGAGTGGGAAGAGGAGCCCTAGGCGGAAGTCCCCAATCCCCACCTGTTGGGTAGAGGAAGGGGTCATGGATGTGGGATCCTAGGGCCAGGACTCCAGGAGCCTTCTGCACGTCCAACGATACCTTGGTACCCACATCATCTAACAGGAGCAATGGTACCCACTCTGACTCAGCTGCGTTGTTGGTGACCAAAGTGCTAGTGCAAGAGACAGAGGAGTTTCCAGGGGGAGCATGCACCAGTATCCCATCTAGCTCTACTGAGTGGCCATGCTTGAAAATCTTAAACCAGGGCTGGAACTTACTTTCCCCTCTTGCTTCCAGAGACCAAAATTCTCAGGGTACCCTTTAGCTTTAAGGCAGTGATTCCTAAACTTGGGTCCCCAGATATTCCAAGACTAGAACTCCCAGAAATCCTGACTAGCAGAGCTAGTGGTGATTTCAGGAAGTTTTAGTCCACAACATGTGGAGATCCAAAGTTGGGAACCACTGCTTTAAGGGGACATTCTTGGAAGAACATTCCCTGAGAAAACAGTACAAGGGAGTTCCCAAAGAGAGTTGTGAGCAGTGTTCCTATCCCTGTTGGTTGCAATAAGGTCTGTTCCTAGTTATTCTCACAACCTGGAGCCCATAGAATGATTGCCAGGAGACTTGTCCATTGCCAGCACCCCCAGAGGTGGGTTCAGCAACACTCATAAACTGAAAGTAATTACCTGTATTTAATTTGTTTTTAACTGGCAGTGTTGGGAACAGATGCTTGGCAGGTTTCCTGCTTCACCTGCCAGTCTGCTCTTAAGTAATACATGAACTTAGGTGGGCAGTTTGGGAACTATTTTAAACAAAAGTAGCAGCTCCGTTAGCCCGTCTCAGAAGGTTGGCAAAAATAAAGTAGAAATGGGGAAAGGGAAGGGGAATCTCTTAGTTTTTAGGTGCCACAATCCTTTGCCTTTTCTCCCCCACCCCACTTGTTGCCAACAAAAAAGAGAATTCCACTGTAACATCAGCCCAGGATGATTTTTCGGATTGCTCTCTCTCTCCCCCCTCCTCCTCCCTCAAGCTATATGATAACCAACCAGATGAAGAATCCTGTGACATACAAAATCTAGCCTGTTTGTCAGAGTGCAGACGTCTAAAAAAGACA